GCAGGGTGAGAATCGAGGTCCCATTTTTTTGGTTTGCATTGGTTTGATCTTTTATACCAGGGCTCCAAATAGGTTATGTTATAGCAAAAATTCTGGGGTTAAACAAAAAGTTTCCAAACCACTTGGTTCCGTGATGTCTAGACATGTGTTTGGATCTGTCCAGTTTGGACAGGCATGCCCCAGAGTGGATTCTCAGCCCTGTGCATTTACAGCAGAAAAGAATCCTGGTGGGTGGGTCAAGTCCCCCCTTCAGATGTTATGTGCGGAATTGTGTCCCCTGCAAATTTATCCCTTGAAGCCCTACCCCCTAGTACCTCAGAATGTGACTGCATTTGAAGATGGGGCCTTTAAAATGGTAATTAAGTTAAAACAGGGTTGTCAGGGTGGGCCCTAAACAAATGTAACTGGTATCCATATGTAAAGAGATGAGGACACAGGGGTGTGTGTGTGTCGGGGGTGGATGGTGGAGACCAGACACATGCATGCACAGAGAAACAATCAAGTGAAGATACCGGAAGAAAATGACCATGGATAAACCAAGGAGAGAGGCCTCAGAATGAAACCAACCCTGCTGATACTTTCAGCCTCCAGAACTGGGAGGAGCAAACTTTCTGCTGTTTAAAGCACCAAGTTTGCAGCTTTCGTTCAGCAGCCTGGGCAAACTAATACAGTCAGAGAGCAGCTTCCACGGTCCTGCTGCACACCAGAGGTAGTGGGAGGGGACGACGTGCTCCTCAGCTTCTCAGAGGGAAAACAAAGGAGTTGTTTCAATAACTGGAACTGTCTAAAATATATGAAATTAATTATCTAAATTGGGAAATATGCAGCATGGGTTTTTTTTTATTTGCAAGGGTGTCAAAACTGCGACAGATTCAGAGCACCCCATATCCACGTGAGCTGAGCCCTGGTGGTGTTGCAGCCTCAGACTGCTAAGTACAGCTTCTGAGCCGGGGCCTCAGGAGGCCATATAGCTTTCTGCTTTCTTCTTTTGTTGTGTGAAGATGCCCAGTCTGTCTAATTGACTGGTGGATGAGAAGCCATATAGCCCGTCCACGGACCAACCAGCATGCTAACAGCAGGGGGGTGAGGCCATCGCAGACCATCTGGCCCCAGTCAAGATGCCAGATGATGGCAACCACATGGCCAATCCCAGGTGAGACCCACAAAACTGTTCAGCTGAGTCCAAATTGCTGACCCATGGAACCAAGAGTAAATAAAATGGTTGTAGTTTAAAGCTATTATGGTTCAGGATGAATTGTTATGTAGCATTAAATAAATGACACAGGAAGCTAAAATCGTATCTCCTCTCAAGGCCGTATTTGATGACTGTCTGGGGACTCCTGTAGCCACCTGCAAACCATCCTTGCTAAGCCAGACAAACTTAGAAGATCCAGAGTGGCGTGTGCATTGGGTAATTGTGCATCTGTCTCCCCCGGGGACTGGATGACCTCAGGCAGTAACTGGTCTCCTGCGTCTGTTCATCCTGTGTATTGTGCTGAGCCAGGATCTGACATAGAGCAGGTGCTCTGTAGACAGCTACTCAATTAGTGAAACGCTATGGGACTTTCTAGGTTACTAACATCTCCTACCAAGATAGCTGCAGCAGTATCCTAACTAGTCTCCCTGCACCTGGGCTTGCTCCCTCAAATCCATCTTCCATGCTGGGAAGAAAACTTTCTAAAGTGCAAATCTATTCTGGTTTAATCCTTGGTCAAAATATGTAATTCACTCCACACAGCAGTTAAATTCTATCTCTTTGGAATGATTTATGAATCCTGCAAACCTTGACGTCTAATTCTAATGTCCCATCTTGCACACTCTTTCCCTTGCTGTCTGGACCCAGTCACAGAGATTTCTTTCTGTTCATGTACCACACTCTCTGGTGCCTCCGGACCTTTACACATGCTCTGCTCCCTAGCTGGAACATACACCAAAACCTAGTTCCCAAGCCTGCCTAAATCCTATCACCCTTCCAGTACATTTGGCTGTCCACTTCACCTGGACTGAGCAATTACAGGAAGTATGGATCTACACTGGTTTCTGGGCAGTGGCTAATGGTCAAGAGACTTGGCACAGAATGAAGAATTGGTGATAAGACTTGGGAAGAAACACTTAGATGGACTTTCAGAAATAAACACAGAGTGTGAAGATATTTCTATCCCAAATAAAATCTCACCATGGCGGAGGAGGCCCTCACCTGGTCAATCAGGTGGCTAAGATGACCCATCCCATGGGTGTCAGGCAGCCTCTCTCTGCAGTCCCTCCCATGCTTGCTTAACATGCTCTCGTACAACGGGGTCATGGTGGTGAGAATGGAGACTATTTATGGGTTCAGTAATATGGGTTTGTCTCACCAAGGTGCATCTGGATAATGCCACTACTAAGTCCAATCTACCACCAGCAGAGACAAATGTGGTATACCCAATATATCACCATTCTGCAGGATTTCATCTGGCCACCTGGTGTCAGGTTGACTACACTGGATCCTTTCCATCATGGAGTGGGCAGCGGTTTATCCTCATTAACACAGCCAGAATATAAGGTTTCAGGAATCATAGGAGGTGGTGGGAGTGGCTTCTCTCACTGTTATCCCAAATAACCCACAGTATTAGTTTCCTGTGGTTGCCATAACAAATCACTATAAACTTGGTGGCTTAAAACAACAAAATTCATTCTCTCACTGTTCTGGAGGCCAGAAGTTCAGCATCAACTTCGCTGGCCTTAAATCAGTGTGTCAGCAGGGCTGCTCTTTCTCCAGAGCTCTAGGCGAGAATCCATTCTTTGACTCTTCCAGCTCCTGGTGGCTGCCAGCATTCTTTTGCTGTGGCCACATTACTCCAATCTCTGCTTCACCCCTCATATTGCCTCCTCCTCTTGTGTGTCTGAGATTTTCCTCTCTTACAAGACTCTTGCAATTGGATTTACAGCCTACTGGATAATCCGGATAATCTCCCAATGTCAAGGTAATTAATTTAATCCAATCTGCAAAAATCCTTTTTCCTTACAAGGTAACATTTACAGATTCCAAAGATTAGGACCTGATCTCTTTGGGTAGCCATTATTCAGCCTACCACACCCACTCTTAACACTTCTGCTTCTTGGCCTCACAATGTTGGATACTGCGAGTTTGCAGGTCTTAGTTCTTGAGGGAAAGAAAGAAACAGTTTTCACTTGATTGGAAATCAAAACTTATAACTGGCCATTTTGGGCTCATCATGCCACTAAACCAATAAGCAAAGAAAGAATTAATGTACGGGTTGCCTGACCGATCCTTACCTCTGACCATTCAGGTCAAACTGGGATACTATACCACACAATAAAGGTGAAGAGGACTAGGCCCAGAACCCAGGAGATGCTCTAAGGTCCCTCTCAGCACTTCAATGTACAATAGTAAAAGTTAGCCAAAAGTTGTGGCCCCCAAAACTATGCTGGACAACTGAAGATTCCGACCCTTCAGGAATGATTATATGAGTCACTCCACCATGCAAAGAACCCCAGCTAACAGAGGCCCTGGCTGAGCAAAGGGAACACAGAAGGACAGTGGAAGAAAGAAGTTTTATACACACACACACACACACACACACACACACATTTACTCCATTAGTAAAATATATAGAGAGAACACATATGTAGATATTACTCAATTAGTGAATATATATATATATATACACACACACACACATATAATATATATACATATGCATATGAACTACGGCAGTCACAATAGGCCTTTTGCAGCTACGTGTATTTTCTTCTTGTTCGCTGTTGTTTTATATACTTTTCCCCTCCCTCCTGCTTTTCCCCTATTCTGTTTTGTAAAGATTATAAGTCATTGCTAACTTTACAGTTTGTTTTGCTGCATAAGCTTGTGACTCAATTAGAGGAGTAATTAACATCACCCAAATATGGATTTGATGACTAAGCCCTGAAGAGGGATACATTTATTGGACTTTGTGTTTTAGAGGAGAGCATTAGAATGTCTTCTTTTGCACACAGGATAGTTTCTTCTTATTAGGTGGGAACTACTGTTGATAGAGGAAGTTCAAATATGTGTGTATTGATGTGTATGGGTACTAAGTGTCCAAAGAGGTGGACAGTGCCAGCTTTTGAGCTATTGCCTTTTAGTTCCAAATGCAGCCTTCTGTACTCTGCTCTATGATACCGGGCCTCGGACTCTGCAAACCACGTTACCTTTGTTAGTTGGCTTTGACAAAAAGGGGCATGAGTGAAAGATTCGAAGGCAGGAGAAACGGAGGGTTCCTTCTTCCTTTGCTTACTAACCTTATCAACAACTGTTGATCCCAGCCCTCAACTTTTCTTCTGCCCTCCCAGGCAAGCTTCACTGTATCCCCTAAGAGGTACTAGCACCAGCCAGACAGCACCTCCTCTTGAGACCTCTGAGCCCTGGCACTCTAGGGCCCCCCAGTCAAGCTTGTGGGTTCTGTTAATCCAACCTCTTCCCTATATTCCTGCAGCCTTAAGAGTGCTAGCTGCTTTCTGCAATGATTTTTCTCTAGCTTAGTTCAGTTCTTTCAGCCCACCTACATCAATGTAACCCATTCCCTACAGTAACTTCTCTCTGTTAAGAAACCTAGTGTAGTTTCTGTTTTCCTGCCTGGACCCTGACTGATACAAACTATTAGGAAAGTGATACTCACTTTTCCCTAGGGCACTAAGCCAAAAGAAAGTAAATTTGGAAGTGCTGGGAGTCATCCTGAGAGGTCAGACTGCCTGAAAGGAAGGCTGAGACAGAAGACAGATCCCTGACATATTTAAGCACCTAGATCTAGCTCTGACTGGAATTAAACCTCTCTCTCCCCTGGATCGTTGAGTTATCTAGGCCAATAAATTCCTTTTGTTATTGTTGTTTAAGCCATAATGGGCTATTTGTTATTTACAGCCAAAAGAGTCCTGATTAATCCAAATCTTCTCATCCCCACCCCCAGACCTAGTGCTTCACCGGACAGCCACTGGACAGCCAAGACCAAACACTTCCTACTGAAAACTTTAATGAAACCAATAAGTTAATAAGTTAACTTATAAAGTGAGGTACTTGCATATCCACGAACCAGGTTGGTGGGGGAACTTCGATCTGGAAGGAGGGAGGGCTTCTTCCCAAGTCTCCATTGGTCATAGGGTAATCCCATTCTCCTGTCCCTCTCCACAGCTCTGTTTCTGAGGGGGTGGAGGGGTGGCTCTCTGGGGACAGTGCAGTGCAGGTGAGGTGAGCCAGGAGAGGCTCCATCCAGGACGTGATGGTCACATGCAAAGGGTCTGTTGGGGCAGAGGCTGGGCACCATGGGACTGAGCAAGATCCAACCCCAGCCCTGGTGCTGGTGCATGCAGATCCCCAATCATGAGATGTAGGCAGCTGGGCCCAAGCCCCTTGTTCCCTGGCACCCTACAGGGGGGTCACCATTGGTCCACTACCCATCACCCTCCTGCCATCTGCATTGGCTTTGTAGAAGAGGGACAAAGGGGTAGGGATACCAAAGAGGTGCTAGGGGCCTGGAGTGGATGGGGGGTGGGGGGATTATACCAGCATGGAGAGCTGTCAACTGAAGTGAAGAGATGGGTATGGAAGGAGGGGAAACAGTGCGTGTGAATGCCAGATGCAGAGTGGTGCCTACCAAAAAAGAGAATTATTATTCTCTCTGAGAATTAGAGTGACAAGGAAGGGGGCAAACCTAGACAGAAGCAGGCCTGATAACCAACCTGGGCAAGGGCCTGGGGTCTTTCCAGTGCTGTCCAGGCCCCGGAGGTCTAGGACTGAGTTATGCTGTGGGGATGCTGAAGAGCGCCCTTGGGGGCAGGCAGAGGCAGCAGTTATGGCTCCTGAATCAGTGAGGAGTAGATCTTCTTGAGAAAGGGGAGCTGCTAAAGCTCTGGAGTTGTGCCTGGAAAGACCTGGGGTCACCTCAGAGTTCTCTCTCCCACCCAAATGGAGTGGCAGGCTTCCTCTTAGTGGACATCACCCTGCAAGGCCAGCCCACTGTCATCAGCTGAGAGGCCCAGAATGGCTGAGTGGCTCTGTGCTCATGTCTCCAAGTGTGCATGATTGTGTGTGTCTGCATGTCTGTGGGACTAGAGGGACATGTTTGTGTGACCATGGGAGCATTGTCTATGCGAGGTTTGGAGGGGAATACAGAAGCTTGTGCTGTCAAAGGTGTCCTGAGGGTCAAAGAGGGGAGTGAACAGCCAGCAGGAAGGTGCCCCTGGGGGACAGGGAGGGACACCTGCAAATGGAAAGAAAGGCCCAGGCACTGCCCTTGGGGAAGCAAGGGAGAAACTGGCCCCATACTGGCTGGGTAGGTAGGGGGAGAAGGAGGGGGTAAGCCAAAGAGGGGGATGGAGGTCATGGCCAAGCCGCCTGAGACCAGCTAAAGCTGGGGGCCCATCTCCCAATGGGGGAGGGGCAGAGGGACCCCATGGGGGTCCCCAAAGTTGCATATTTAACATAGTTTGCATATATGGTGCCTATCTGCCTTGTGGCAGGGTCCTGTGCTTGTGGGTACCTGTGGTGGCACCTTGGGCCCACCCCCAAGTGGGGCAGGGACTTGGCAGGAGGGCTTCCCTCCCTGCTCTGTCTGAAGGGCGGGCCAGAGACCTCACCTTGCATAGCTGGAAGCTAGGTCAGGGCCCAGGTACCCAGCGCCCCACTCCCACTCCCGGGGCAGTGCCCCTGCCTGGCAAGCTATGCCGGGCCTTGATGGAAACGGGCAGGGCAATGGGGGGCCCAGAGGCCTCGGGGCAGCCGCTACTGCTGCCGGCCGAGCGAACTGGCATCTCTCGCTCCTGAGGTGGGGCGGGTTGCTCGTACCCACAGCCGGTATCTTGCCCACCCAGGCAGCTCAATACTGTGTGTGGCCTCTCTCCCCGTGAGGCAGCAAGTTCAAGTCCGAGCGGAGTCCGGAGGCCTCACAGGGCGGGTCCGAGCGCCCGGTCCTGGGGCTGGCGGTGAGCTGTCCCAACCCCTGAGAAGCGCCTCAGTCCATATTGGTGCTGACCGAGCGGGAGATGCTGAGCGTCTGTGCGGAGACGGAGATGTCCTCGTGGTCCACAGGGCTGTGGTAGTCGGACGTGATGTCGGGGTCGAAGAGCGGCACTTGCACGGTGCCCAGGCTAGCCGAGGTGCCAGAGCGCAGGCAGCGGGAGTAGAAGTCCAACAGCAGGTCCAGCTTGTGCTCGATGGACTGCACCTGGGGGCGGGGCGCAGCTGGAGGCGGGGCCTAGCTGGGGTTGGGGACGGGCTTAGGGCGCCACTGAAGGCGGGGCTTGAGCGGGGATAGGGGCGGAGATTGGGGCGGAGCGAGGCTAGGAGGCGGAACTTGGCTGGGGAGGGGCAGCAGGAAAGGGGAGCTTGGCCGGAGAGTGGGACGAAGCTGGGAAAGTAGTTTATTCCCGGAGCAAAATTTAGTTGTGATTGGTTGGGATAGGGACACCTGAGGTGGGGTTAAATGAAGTAGATGGGACTTCGGTTTACCTGTGACGCTACCAACCTAGGGGCGGGGCTTGGCAGGAGAAGGTGGGTGAGCTTCCTGGCACGCAGGGCTTATCTGTGGGGCGCGGATCGGTAGGGCTGGGGCCGCTTGGGCCCTGCTTGGACCTCCGTGGCGGGTGCTCTGGGCTGTGGCTCTGAGAAGTGCATCCTCCCCTTGTTCCTGTCCCTACGGCCTTCCAGAGCGTCTCCGTCGACGACCAGCTCAGCTATACCAGCGAGATTCCATCCCACACTCACCTGCTTCTCCACCTTGACCACGCGTCCCATCATACTAATTTCATCCACTGCCTCCGCGTCCAAGGGCCCCTTGTCGCCCTTCTCTCGGGCCTTCCGGTCCCCGGGCCCCCGGCCCATAATCTGGTCCACCCTGTGGAGAAAAAGAACCGTCACAGGGCCCACACATCACACTCCCTCCCCAAGAATTCTAGGTTGCCCGCTGAAAGAGGAGACAGAGCCTACATTGGTGAGAGGGGCAGCCTGAGGGGAGGGGCCTTTTGCCCTGCCGAAAGGAAACCAAGTTGGATGGAGGGACCCAGCCGCTGCTTTGAGGGTTTCCCAACTAAGCAAAAGCATAACACACAGCATAACAAGTAAAACAACTGCCTGATGGGAGGGCAGGTGGGAAATGGGAGAGTGGGAACAGAGGGAGAGACACAAGGGGGAATGTGAGTTATAAGGTAGACAAGGCTAGAGCTGATCCTACCTTATTTTTCTGCTCTCCTTTACAGCAAAATTCTTGACAGTGTTCTCTCTATCCTCTAGCTCCAATTTCTCTCTTAAACCTTCTCCACTCAGACTTCATTCCCACCATTTCACCAAAACTGCTTTTGTCAAGGTTCCAAATAGGCCCCGTGTGGCTGAATTTGATGACCAGTTTTTCAGCCCTCTTTACACTTGACCTATTAGCAGTGCTCTGCACAGTTGATCACTTCTTCCTGCACTTTTTCCATTTGGATTCCCCCAAACCACCCTCTCCTGGTTCTCCTCTCCCCATTTCCTTCTCACTGACGACTCCTTCTCAGTCTCCTTTGCTAGTTCCTCCTCCTTTATCTCTACAACCTCTAAACATTGCAAGACCCAACACTTCTGGGACCTCTTCTCTCCACTTACTCCCGCTAAGTGATGTCTTTAGTTCCAGATTTTCAATTGCTCTATGCACCGTTGACACCAAATCTCTTATCTCCAGCCCACATCTCTCCTCTGAACTCCAGACTCCTCAATCCCACCACGAGATCAACATCCACTTAGATGCCTGGTGGGCATCATAACTCCAACACACCTCAACTCTCCTGATCCAAACTGACTCCACCCGTTGCCCTCCCCATGCCAAAAAATGGCAACTTTTTCCTCCTGCTCAAGCCTTGGCTTTATCCTTTATTCTCTTTTTCTCTTACATCCCATCAGAAAACCTTGTCAACTCTACCTTCAAAATATATCTAGCATCTGACTATTTCTCCCCACCTCCACTGCTGCCACTCTGGTCCCCGTCTGCATCATCTCTAGGCTGGACATCAGAAATGGCTGGGTGGTTCTTCAGGCCCAAGACAAGGAGCTTGGCGGGCCTTCTGGACTCAGCCAAGAGCCTCAAGCCGGAAGCCTTGCCCAGGCCTGAAACTCCAGCTGCCACAACGGCCCCTAGGGGGCGCTCGGGGCTCCTTTCGGGCTTTGGTAGACAGGCTCTAGCCCGCGGTCGTCGATTCAGGATCCGGCCGCGGCCTCCCTGCCCACCTCCCCCGTCGAGGGTGGGCGCACCCACCGAGCCTGCAGGCTCTTGATCCGGCCCAGCATGTCCAGGTGCCCTGCTGAGTACTGCTCGATGACGTCCTTCACGTCGTATGGTCGCAGCGTCTCCTTGAATTTCCTTTTGGCCACCAGGAACTTGAGGATCCTGTTGTGGGAGGGGGGGATCTCAGAGGGAAGGGATTCTTTTCCAGCCCCCTCTCCGTCCCTTTGCTACCCCTTGTCCAGCACCAGGGCACCCCTTGCTTGGGCCACATAAACAGCCTCCACTGGGTCTCTCAGCCTCCCTACCTACTCAACACCCTCCCACCCACTGCCCCTTAGTTTTGTTTGGTATGTTTTAATGTGCCTGTGTCTGCAGTCACATTCGCCTGGTAGGCAAGACTGGGATGGTTTCTCTCTACGAGGTGGGACACAGGGCAGGCATCTGTGTACGCTGCCAATGACAATAACTCGGAGGAAGACTTCTTGCATTCGCTCCACAAATGCTTGTTAGCACTGCTGTGCTGGACTCTGGCTGCCCAAGGGGCATCAGAGCCACTCCCTGGCCTCAGAAGCCCTGCTCTGGGGTGGGAAACAGAGAGGACACACAATTATGGGGTGATAAGGGTGGAGAAAGGGGCTGGAGATGGTGAGAAGAGAGACCTTGGCTGGGGAGGTCTGGGGGTCAGGGATAAGTCTAGAGAGTGATGCTTCCCAGTCACATGGCCAAGAGGAGGGGGATGAAGGGAGGCTCTCTGGACATAGACACGCATGGAGGTGTGTAAGTGAGATTCAGTTCAGAGGAGCTGCAACAGGGTATGAAGACAAGGGGTCAACCCACCAGGGTGAGGAGTAGGGCATTTAAGGGAAAGAGCCTGGCCTTGAGCAGGAGGCTGGGGGCCGGGGGTACCCTGAAGAGCCCTGTATCCCTGGCAGAGACTAGGCAGTGGGAAGTTGGGGTGGGAAGAGGAAGTTCTTCCTCTGCTGTAGCGTGATGCCCTGCCAGCCTGTGTGGAGAATGGGCCTAAGCTGGGAGGGGGCAGCAGCATGGAGAGGTGGGGCATGCTGGGTGTGAGGGGTCTGTGGGATGGCTGAGGAGAGCTGACCTGGGTCAGGTGGCAGCTCAGGAATTGTGTTCCAGTAGCTGGTCACTGGGAAGGGAGAGACAGGATGTATAAAAAGAGGGTGGGAAAAGGCCTCAGAGTCTCTAGAGAGTGTGTATGGGATGGGGGTCAGGGGTCTGGCCGACTCTGATTTTGAAAGGAACACAAGGGAAGAAGCTTATGTTCAGGTGCATCAGCTGGGGAAGAGAGGAGGTGAGTCTGGAAGGCCTGGGGGTGAAGGAGGTCTCTGGAGCTAGAGCTGCAGGCTGGGAAGAGTCTAGGCCAGGACTCCATGCCAAGGAGTTTGTGGGCCAGACCCACAGCGGGGCCACGGCTAAAGGGCCCAGGAGATGCTGATCCCCTAATATGTCAAGGCAGGAAGCAAGCTAGTAGGGCAGATGCTTTCTAACTTTTTGACCAAAGCCCACCATAAGAAATGCATTTTACATCAGAAACCAGTACACACACACACACACACACACACACACACACACACACACACCCCTGAAATATAAGTTCCATGAATATTTATCTTTACTGTGAGGGGTGCATTCTATTTTCTGTTCTATTCTTTTTTTTTTTAATGCTGACTATGGCCTGCTAAATTTATTTCACTAAGTTGATTTCAAACTGTTGTAACCTGTGGTTTGAAAAGTACTGCTCAAAAGGAAGTCCTATGGGAGACAGACAGGCTGAGGTCAAGACACCCAAGAAGAGAGAGAAAGTTTGAGACCCAGAGCAAAAGGAAGATGAGAACTGAGACACAGAGATGGAGGGGAGAGTGCATCAAGACAGAGACATGGGAGGCAATAATGGATGCGGAGCGAGGAAGAGAGAGAGAGAGAGAGAGAGAGAGAGCCTGACGTAAAGCAGAAGGGGAGAGAAGCAGAGAGGACAGTGTGGGCATGAAGAGAGGAACCATGATGGGCAGCCGAGCCCACCACCCCACCCAGCCAGCCCTGCAGACATGAAGAGGACGTACAAAGCCTGCTGGGAGCCACATGCCACCTCCCCACCCCACCCACACTCCAGGGTCCCTGCCAACCAGCATTGCAAAGGGTGCCAGGTGGGTAGCAGCTGGCATGCCCGGGAGCTAGGCCAGGTCTGGCCATGAGGGCAGACCACAGATGGGGAGCAGCAGTGGGTGGCAGACGATGGGCGGGGGGGCATCATAGGCCTCGGTCTCACCTGACAGAGCGGATGACCGTCTTCACAGCAGGCATGACGTCGTCCACCGTGAGCTCACACTGGTAGCTCTTTTCCTCTGCCACTTCCTCTGAGGGGCCCTCTGGAAAGTTGGGGGAACCCAGGTGGTGGCAGCAGAAAGGGCCACTCCTAACCCGTACCACCACATGCCAAACCACCCTTAGAGGTACTGAGAGGGATAAGGAGGCCTAGAAAGGGCCCAGCACCTTCCTGGCGGAACAAGGCCAACCAGACCTTGTTGCACTACCCAGGACAGAAAATACCAGTTCATTGCCTATGGCCAGTCAGGGTAAACATCTGCCTGGTGGCCAGGAGAGTGGGAGTTGCTGGAGGGCACATCTGGTGCGCCTTGGAACAAACTGCACACAGCCCTGAAGGAAGCCCCACTGGTCCTGCCCACCAAGCGGGACAGTGAGCCCCAGAGAAAAGGGACTTGAGGCCTTTGCATGTAATACACACACAGTCTTACCCTTCAGCCAAGAGGGAAGGAAGCAGAGGCTGGCTCCTGTGCCCAGCTCTGCTGCTGGGGCAGGTCCCTAAAGCAAGTCATTTTTCCTTCCCCCAGGTGAGAGAAACAGTTTCTCTGAGACTACTGCCCTACATTGCACAGAAAGGTGATGCTATCCTGGCCCTGCCAGGTGCAAGAGGGGATGAGAAGCCAGGCAGCTTCTTGGGCAGGAAAGAGGAGGCCCCAGGCATTAGCCATGCCCAGGCTCCTGTGGGTCAGCACCTCCCAAAGACTGGTTTGTAGGATTCTGTGACCTTCCAGAAAAGGCCTGAGTCAGTCAGCAGCATGGGGCCTGACACAGCACAGACAGAGGTAGCATGGCTGGGTCCCCCTCCCTCTAAGGCATCCTGTCCCCATCCTCTATCCTGTCTCCTGCCCCTTCTTTTTCCCACCCAGGGGCCTTAAGCATGTCAAAGCTGGGAGAAGTCTTCCAGAGCACTTGGTCCTATCCTCTTGTTTTCCAGAATTGGACACTGAAGCACAGAGAGGGGCAGTATCTTGCCTAAGTCACAGTGCCTTACTGAAGTCAGAGCAGAGCTAGAATCTAAAAAAGCAACCCTGCTCCCCAGGTTCACAGCCTCATAATTGCAGGCTGGGGAAGGGCATGAAGAGGGGCAGGGTGGGGAGTGTGGGCTCTGGAGCTGGACACACCTCACTGAGGACAGCAGCTCTGCCACTTATTAGTTGAGAGATCTCAGTCTCCACATCAGTAAAACAGGGGTGCGAACAGAACCTACTTCCTAGGGTTGTTGGGAGAAGGAAAGAGATGATGTGTATGAGGCTGTACACAGGTATGGCCCCTCAGGTATGGACCGCGGCCCCTCCCAAGCACATCTGTCAGGCAGCTTTCTTTGGGGAGATGCTGTGTTCGGAAAGCTCTTCTGCTCACCTGCTGAGATGTAGTTCCTGTGAAGTAGTTTCTATTATTGTCCTCATTTCACAGGTGAGGAGAATGTGGCCAGAGAGATTAGGTTACTTGCCCAAGATAAATGGCAAAGGATTCAAAGCCAGGCAGCCTGGCTCCAAAGTCTGCACTCCTAACCACTACGAAACGCTACCCTCTGCATTCTCATTTGATTGTCAGTCTGGAGCCCAGCAAAGCAGGTATTCTGATGCCCATTTTACAGACCAGAAGACTGATGCCCAAAGACGGTCCCCTGTTGCAGAGCTGGGACTAGAGCTGAGTCTTTCCCCGTCCAGCCCAGGTTCTGGCCCTGTGCTGCTGCCCCCAGCCGGCCCCCAGGGGCTCACCCTCAGCAGAGGCACGGGGTTTGAGTCTCAGAGAGGCCCGGAAGCGTGTGCGGTCATTGAAGCTCCAGCTCTTCTGCACCTTGGTAGGGCTGCTGGCCTCAGCCCCCTGCTCGCTGCCCGGGGACGCAGGCATTGGAGGAGGTGCCAGGTGCTGCTTGGAGGGGCCCGTCCGCCGCTGCGAGCTGCCCATGCGGATGCGGTCTTTGATGCCCATCCGACTGCTGGCAGGATGGGCCGGGGGCAAGTAGTGGAGAGCCAAGTGAGCCAGAGCAGGGGTGAGTGTGAGGGGGGACACAGCTGGCTTGTGACTTGGGCAGCTATTGGGTCTTAACTCTCCACCAAATGGAGACTTCCTGGGGTGGGACAAGGGTGTGGTGAGGGGACCCTGATTCCTCCCAGAAACTGATCTAGGGTCAGTCTGGGCAGATGCCCTCCCCCCCCCGCCTCCCACCCCTCATTGCCTGGACAGACAAGGGGTGCACAGGAGACAAACGTCAGAGTGGAAGGAGTGAGAAAAACCCAGGAAGGGAGTCAGACAGATGGAAGGACAGGAGAGCTGGGCCTGGTCCAGGTGGGCAGGCGGAGCTGGAGGGTGCTGAGAGATGAAGAAGCTCACCCAGCCTTGCACACTGAGGAGGCCTCCAGGGGCCCACTGGACACAGGGTGGGTTGTGTGGAGCTGAGGCTGTGTGTGTGCGCACCTGTGACAGTGTGGTACCCAGGTACCAGTGCGTGTGCATGTGTTCATATGTGTGTACACGTATCAGTGTATACCTGCCTCCTCTACCCATTGCTGGAGTTCTCTGACCCCACACTGGTGAAGTCATGGCTTTCAGGCTTTCAGACCCAGTAGAGCTATGCAGGCGGTGCACTAGAAAATCCCAAAGGCCTCCAACACATAGACATCGGAATAAATAGCACCTCTAGGGGTGTGCAGTGTGCCAGGCCACTGAGGGGCTTTAGCACTATGGGTCTAGCTGCTGAGCCCACATGTATGCCCAGGACATGCCTGGTGCCTGCCCTCCCCATGAAGTCTCCCCTGCCTGAGCTCTGCCCACCTGGACTAACGTCCTGCCCATGTGACTGTAGGCTCTCCCTCCCAGTGCCACAGCCCCCACTGCCTACTGAGCCCCCAGTTCAACTGCACCTACACGTGTCTGTATGCCTGTGAACATACATGTGCATGTCTGTGCCTATGCTCAGACTTCCCTTCCCACACCCCAGCTCACCACCACATCCCCCAAACCTCAGAGGAAGACAGGTACAGGGAGGCCTCAGTTTGCCCAAGACAGGCCCTGGTCAGCCAAAACCTGGTAGAGTAACTCTGTGTCCAAGAGGTTCAAGGACCATGTTACCGCTGTTTGAATAGGACCTATGCAAACATTCCCCCATCCCACACCATGGGGTGTCACCACTGCCTCTTGCTGTGGCATTTGGGTTAGGGGCCCCTCCACCCAAATGTCTGGGGCCCTAGCTCAGGAGAGCACCAGCCAGTCTTTGAGGAGGCCTGAGGTGAGACAGAGGTTGGGGGAGGAGACTGTGCCACCTTCTCTCAGGGACTTTCAGATCAAGGGTTGAGCAGAGGACAGATTCTGGTTTCAGGGTTGGGTGGGAGCTGGGGGTCTCCCATGCCCAGGGCATGGGATATAGGGTACAGGGCCAAGATGCTGAGGTGAGAAAGATCTCAAACCAGGGGCACCTTCAGGAAGGCAGCCAGGATGTACAGCCATCCTTAGGAGTAGGATCCTCTGCCCAGAGGGAAGAGGTTATAGGTCATGGACTGGGGCCCTTAAGATATTAGAAGGGAAGGATGGGATGGCCCTGCAGTCCAGCATGCTGTTTGCTGGCCCAGGATCCCCTCAATGCATCCCAAAGATGCCAACCAAAGTTTGAGGCTGGCTCTCCCAAACTTTCCTCTGCAGAGCCATTCCTTCGGGCTCTCATGCTGGCAGGCACCGCCCACCCACCCAGCCCGTGCAACCCATCCCTCTGCCCTCCACTCCTCCAAGGCGGAGAGGAAGACAAAGGGATGGAGAAGGCCCTGACCCTCATCCAAGGGCCAGGAATTCCGGATCTCTGCACCCAGCACAATCACTTCCATTCTGGAAGAAAGGAGTGACCTCCCCATCATGAGAAGTATGCGAGCAAGACTGAGTTTGCACTCAGTAGGACTTATGGAGGATGGGGTCTGGAGGCTTGCACTAGAGGTCCTGAAAGGTCCCTTTCCAGCTCTGACTCTGTAATGGCTGAAGGAGCTTCCAGCCTGGTTTATGGGGTTCTGTAACTTTCCAGCCAGCCAGAAGCCCTGGGCTCCTCTTCAATGTAAGAAGGCACTGTTTTCCCAGGGGTGGCCCTGGATTCCAGCTCCTTGGGCAGGGCCCAGAAAATGGATCATGTCAGCCTCTCTGGAGCTAAAAGCTCAAAGAAAATGGAAAGAAACCTAGCACATGGTGGACATCAAAAGAGCTCCTGCCTCCCCAGGTTCCTTAGAACACACAGATCCTGTCTGACTGCCTGGCTTGTGCAGTTCCTGTAGTTCTCTCAGCCACATGGTGGGCTTCATAAGCCATCCCTGGTTTGTAGATGGGGAGAGAGGTGAAATGACGCCCCCAAGGTCACTGAGTGCCTATGGATGAAGCAAGGACTGGAGCCCAGTTTTTTCTGACTTCAGAGACTGTGTTCTTCTCCAGGACAAGCAGTTAAGGTGGTGGTTCTCCACTGGGGGTGATTTTGCTCACTAGGGAACATTTGGCAATGCCTGGAGGCATTTTTGGTTGTCACCCTAGGGGGTGCTCCTGGCATCTACTGGGTAGAGGCCAGGGATGCCACTAAACAATGCATGTAATGAGCCACCACAACAAAGACTTGTCCAGCCCAAAATGTTAACAATGCTGAGGTCAGAAAACTAATCTAAGGGGTCAGCTGGTACCAGGGAGGTGGATGGGTGGGCCTGGATGGGACTGTCCTGTTGGGGAAAGCCAGCTCTGGGCATAGGCTGCCTGCTGCCTGCCCTCCTGGACTCAGCCCCATACTTACTTCCACAAGGAATTTTTTAAGGACTCCATCTGCCTGCCAGAGGCCAACCTCATAGGGGAACAGAGGCGGCCTACCCCAGCCAGAGCTGCACAGAGTCCTTCTCTTTAGAACTGCCACAGCCTCATCCCTGGCCTCTCTGCCCGGGCCCTGCCTGTTCTTCATGACCCAGCTCAGCCCCTGAGCCCTCGGCTCTCTGATCTGGTGGTGCCAGGCCGCCTGCTCCTTCCCGGCACTGTGCTCTCTCTCACCTCCTCACCTTGGCGTGTGCTGCTTTCTTGATCTCGGAATGCCCTGACTCGTGCCTGCTCCTTTTGGGGCCTCCTCTGGGTGAAGTACCTGACCCAGGTTCCGCAGCCCCACTGCTTCCTCCTTTGGCTGCATTCATCACTGCACATAGCAATTAATTACTCTTTGCAATTCTCCAGGCACCATGTTTTATTCACCACTGTGTCCCTAGTGCAGGGCCTGGCACAGGGCTGGTGCCAAGGAAAGTAGTGGTGATGCAGCTAAAAGAGTTGGGCTCTGGAGTTAGCAAAGGAGGCTCCAATTCCAGCTCCTTCAGGCATCTGCTAGGTCTCAAGGTGGGCAACGGGGAGCCAGTAAGCTAAACCCAAGACATGACAAAAGTCAGAGTGGGAAGGACCTTCAGAGAGCCTCTAGTTCAATTTTCCCATTCTACAGATGGGAAACTGAGGTCCCGAGTAGGGAAGCAATTTGGTCAAGATTACACAGGGGGTCAGTGGCAGAGCCAGAACTTATCCCAAGGCTACTGTACATGTCCCTCCTGACAGACTGGGTGCCAGGCCCATGACCCCAGACCTGGCAGAGACATCCCCAGGAAGGTTTGGGGCTCATCGGGGCCCCAAAGCAGAAGGCAGGCGGCAGGCACATGCACCTTGTCCTTGGCCCATCCTGTCCCCCTCTCCAGCCCCGGAACTGGGCGGGGCAAGGAGGAGTGGGGACCGGAGGAGCAGGCGAGGGGGTACCTCGGTCTCCAGCTGGCGTGGATCCGAAAGAAACTCCGTTTATTACTAAACATCTGGCTGGAAAGTTGAGAACAAGACACAAACAGAAGTTAGTGGGAAGGAGGCAGGTGGTCAGGGCGTAGGGGAGCTGCCAGGATGGGACTGGCCTCCTGTGGTTGGTGGGAGAGAAGGACCCCCCATGAAAATCATCCTCCAGCGTTCATCACCAGGATGCAGCCATTCTCAAGATTTGCATAAGGATCTCCTGGGGAGCATGTTAAATATGCAGAATTCTGTGTCTCTTCTTCAGAGATTCTTATGTGGGCTTGGGGAGAGGTCCAGCCCCAGAGGGTGCTGATGTAGGAGGTCAGTGGACCATGCCTTGAGAAACACCATCTTACACAGGGGGTCAGTGGCACCTCACTGCAAAACCCCAAAGAAAGGAGGTGCTGGCCCTGGCAATGCCATCCCCCAGGAAGCCCTGTGTCTTGTCCTGGAAACATGTTCGGCCTGCATGCACCCAAAAGCATCACTAAGTGTGTGGCCACCAAGTGTGTGTATGTGTATGTTGAGGGGGATGGGGGGGATGTCCTATCTGGGCACCCACACCATAGGGCCCACACAGCCAAGATTAAGGATATGGCCATTTGGCTTGAGCCCAGTAACTGATCCAGAAGTCACAGCTCAGTCCCCTAGGGTCCCTGAGAAGAAGGAACACTCTACCACCATCACCGTGAGTCCCAGCCATGTGTCTAAGGCAGACACACACAGGCTGAGAATTAGTGATCGCCGAAGCCTTAGCAGTAACCTGTTCCTAGGTCTTAGGGGGCCCAGAGACCCAGAGCAGCTGTGAGGGTGGTACAGCAGCTGGGCTCCAGGCTAATCTCCATTCTCAGTGCCTTCCTATTCAGGCGAGGTGAGACCGAGAGCCCCTGCTCAGGCCCTGGGCAGGGTTACGCAGACACCGGTATTTCTGAGTTTCTACCTGTAAGCCACAGTTGTACAGGGATGAGGATAACAATGAAGGGCCTTCAGACAGTGACAGACTCTGAGTCAGGCAACCCCATGGACTCTCCTCCAGGCAGCAACCAGCCTGACCTGGCCAGACATGTCCCTGCTCCCTCCAGCCCCAGATCTGGACAGGCTCCTTCTCTCCACCCACTTGCCTGCCCTGCCCCTAGCCTGAAGTGCCTCACTGAGGACAGGGAAGGAATGCTGCTTCCAGGATTCGTTGAACCAAAATCCCCTCCTCTCCATTCCCCAGGCCCTTTCCATTCCAGAAACCCAGAGAACCCAGAGCCCGGATCAGCCTAACTGTTGCCCAGGACCCAGAAGCTCAGAGTGACACAGGGACTTTCTCAAGGTCACACAGCATCAGGTGGCAAGGGCGAGCTTTCACCACACTGCTTCCTTCTTATCACCGAGTGGCTCACCTCTTCTCCCCTCCCTTGTTCTGGGCTTAGGGCTCAGAATCACACCTGAAGCTCAAGGCCCAGAGGGCCACCTGATTCAGGAATGATGTGTGAAGATGAGACAAAACAGAGATGGGCAGGGGACAGAGAAGAAATGAGGGGGATTGAATCCTTGGCCTTAAAGCCACACCTCTACAGGAGCAGCCTTATCCAAATACACCTGAAATTCCACTATTGGTAACCGTTTATGTGGGGTAAGCATTGTTCTTTCTTTGTTCTTCTTTCAAGATGCAAAAAGCTCCAGGAGAGACAGATCAAGGGGAAAGAGACTGTTGGGAGCAGCAAAGGAAGAAGGGCATTGTGCGAGAATCCCAGGTGACCCCTCTGGGATCAGCAAAGCTGCGGGCAAGGTCTGTACAAGACAAGAGCATCATTCATTGGTTGAGTTTACGTAGGTCCTACAGCGGATCTTAGTCACAGAGCTCTCTTTCCAGCTGGCATCTCGTTCCTGAGAGGCGAGTTCACTGTCAAGCCCCTTCTAGAGGAACATGCTGGGGGAGGGGGTTCCCTGCCCTCACACCCCAGAATGGAGCCCACGATTACCTGAGCCGTAAGCACCTGTGGCCAGTGGCCTCCTCCTCTCTCCAGCTTCCCAGGAGGGATGGGGGTGCAGGGATGGAAGAGTGAGGGAACGTGGAAACAGAGAAAGAAAGAGGACAATGGAGTGAATGGACAAGGTAATGGAAAGGATGGTGTGGACGTCACCCCGGTCAGACCCTGGAAACCCCAGGTGACTAGAAGGCAAGTCCAGCCTGGCCTCTCCAGAGAGGCTCTCGGTCTGTACCTGTCAGGCCATCTGATGGCAACTGCCCAGGCCCCGCGACAAGGCCTGGGAGTCCCCAGAACAGGCCCAGACACCCACATAGTGGCTGGAGACAGATCTGAGAGAGGATGAGACAGAATGGAAAAGGACGAGGAGAAGCAAGAGGAGGCGGCGGCCCTGGGGGGCCCCTACCTTTCCCCAGGGCAGAAGGAGGCGCTGCCTGGCCGGTGGCAGGTGGCAACGGGCGGGTAACGGGAGGGCGCTCCATCAGGTACTGGCGCCCGCCGCACCTCCAGGGGCCGTAGGCCCCCATTGCGGGCCCGTTGCACGTGCTCAAACAAGAGGGCCAGTTCTCTGCAGGAGAGGGCACCATCAGCAGCAGGCAGGGCTCTGGCAGCACCCCCTCACCTGGCGGGTGCTGGGCTCCTGAGTTCAGATCCTGCTAGGCTCTGCCTCTCTAGAGGTACTCAGCAAACAGCCCAGGCCAGAATAGGCAGGAACAGCAGGTGGGAGAGACTAACCCTCCTCTCTGCCTTTCTACATTCAGTTCCTGGGAAACTCTGAGGGATGCCATGTATGGTTGTGCAGGCTGGGCACAACTCAAGGGCACCCTGACAAGGCGACAAATGGGACTTCATTCCCGCTTCCTCTGCTTATCAAGCTGAGTGCCTGGACATAGAACTGTGCCTACCCAGAGGCCAGCAGCAGCCCTCAAATCCTCACCCTCCTGCTCTGACTAGGTTTTAAGTGGAAACGGAGCCTGAGGAGGGAGACCTGATAGGGTAACTAGCCCAGCTTCCTCCTCCTGCAGATTCACTCCTGCCACTGAGTTCGTAAAGACTAGACTTGAGGCTCAGCTTCTTCCTAACTCCCCTGTTTCCATAACCCAAGAAGGAGCTCGCTCCTCTCTGCCTTCCCATTGTACAGATGAGCAAACTGAGGTCCAGGAAGAAGGAGGCCCATGTGACCCAGAATCTCTAAACCAAGTTCTGTCCTCTTACCAGAAGATCCAAGACCACTCCCCGCCCATCTTCCCTCCCTCTCACACGTATTCCTAAACAAACCAGCTCCTGCCCCACTCCCCATGGCCTGGCCTTAAGTCCTCAGGGCTCCTCCGGGAAAGGCAGGCTCCTTCTAATCTGAACACTATCACTGTCTGGGAGGTGGGAGCTTGCCTCGGCCAGGTAGAGAGATGGAGGGACCAGTGTGATTCCAGGAGCTCCCTTTTCCAGACCCTTCTCTCCTCCTTCTTCCCTGGAAAGCCCTTGGGGTTCAGAGGGAGCAGGGAGGGGGACAGCCAGGTGTGGGAGGGAGTGGGATCATGCAACAGCTGCTCTTGGAGAACTAATGAGGCAAAAAAGGCACCCGCAGGAGTGCTGAGCCCAGCAGCCTGGCCCGGCTGCACTTGCTGCCTGCCTGCACGTGGGGCTGAGCCATGTGCCACGGTCTTCATTCCTGCCCAAGGGCCTGACCAGGCACCTGGTCTCATAAACCTTGGTGGTGCTATTAATAATCCCCTGCATGGAGCCACCCACTGCTGTCTTACCCCAGCCTGGGCCAGAGGGGCAAACCCACTTCCGGGCTCCAAGGCTGCTGCTTGGCACAGTGAAAGTAGGTACACATTCACACGCAGGGCTGCTGGGCAGTCCTTGCACCCAACTCTGACACACACGTTCTTGCCCATACCACCCTTGCGCTGCCCAGCTGCAACACTCCAGGCTGGCAGTGGCTGGCACCGAGGGGAGATGAGCTGGCTATACCACTGCCCTGACAGGCATCAACTATGGGGTGAGCATGTGGACTGCAGGACTCAGGGCTCAGCCAGCGGGGCAGGGCTCCACCTCATGCCCTGTGTCCAGTGTCCACCACCTTCCCTGGCATAGCAGAGTGGGAGAGAGGACACTCTGGGCTCCGGGTTACATAGGATCTGCAGAGCCTGACCCAGATGCTCCTTTGGGATCCATCACCCCTTTCCCACCTTCCAGAGCTGAGCCCCAGTCACTTTTCCCCAAGGGCCATTACCACCAGCCCCCACCACCACCACCCACTTCCCCCTGGAGCAGGGCCTACCTGAAGGATGGAAGGATACTGTCATAGTAGTACCAGGTAGCCGTCAGGTAGGCCCGGCTCGTGTCGGTGGAGTAGAGGCGCCATGCAGCCTGGTGATGTGGGGGAAGGGAAGGGGGATAAGGCATCAGAAAAGCCTCCAAAAGAACCTGGGCCTTGGGCCAGCTGAAATAGATCCGAAACCAGAGGCCACTTCTAATCCTACAGCCACTGGCAGGGCCAGACAGAAACAGTGGCCCAGAGAGAAATGACATCCCCAAGGTGATGAGCAGGTCAGCATCAGAGCAGGAGGCTGAGAGACCAGGAGCTCAGAACTGGGGTTTTGTCATCAGGCAGATGTAGGTTTCCAATCCTAGCTTTGTCCCTTACTAGTGTGGACAAATAAAGTGAAGCTGCAGAGCCTCAGTTTCCTCATCTGTGAAATGGACACACTACTACTTACCTTACAGGGTGTTGTGAGCAGTAAATGAGCAAATGTACATTAAATGCCAAGTGCTGTGCCTGGCACATGGTAGGCACTTAATATCAAGTTCACCTGTTAAACATGCATTGTCTCCTGTCACCATAGCTTATACATATCTATTCTTTGTCTATTTGACTAATGTCTTTCTCTTCCCCTAGACCATAAGCTATGTCTTGATCACTGCTGTGTCCTCTTGACATATGGTAGGTGTTCTGCAAATGTGTGGGGAATGAATGCTGGCTGAGTGAATTATCATCACTAATAGTAACCCCACCCCATCTTTCTCAGCTGCCTGCCACTGCCCATGGGGTTGAGAAAGGAGGAAAGAGCATCACCTACCAACCCCTCAGTATCTATGGACTTACAAGAGTTTCCTCTGTAGCAGGAGGGATGAGGGTCAGATAAGAGTCAGGACTGTCCCTCTCCCTCCAGGTAAAAAGAAGAGCCAAGGAGGGACTGTGAGTGGGGTAGTCAGTGAAGGCAAGGAGGCATGGGAGGTGCCAGGCAGGACAAAGCAGAATTGGGCCCTGGATGCCACCCTTCTTTGAGTGCCTCTTGTCCTTAAGGGACTGCCCACTGCTGATGTCACCAACCAGGCACCCTCCCAGGACAAGAATATTTTCACTTCCTGCTTGCCTAGGCCCCTGGCTTGGGCTGGGGAGCAGCTGCCAGAGCTGTCTCATTAATTATGGGTACCACAATACCAGCTGTCTCTTGGCATGGTCAGTGCCAGCTGCCTGTCCCTACAATGCCCCTTGGAAGGCCAGCTCCCAGAGGACAGCAGCCATTGTGCCCCAAGGGACACTGAGAAGGAAAGGCTGGGCTGGTGGCTGGAGATAGCAGGGTGGGGGAAGCGGTTCCACCCTGGGGAGAGATAAGGGGAATTAAAGAGACTTGAAGTGGCAGGGTGAGAGTGTGGCACGCTGGGGAGCAGGCTGAGAAGGACTGTGCCAGTACTCCCTGATCTGCTTCCCAAGGGGGTTTCTCTTGCACACACCCTGGTAGAGAGAAGCCAAGGCTGAGGGACAAGTCACAAAAAAATCAGTGCCCTTGCCTCAGCCTGGGCCCTGGCAGGACACCTCAGCAAGCGAGGGAAGCTTAGACCACACACTCCCGGGTTTCCCCCAGCCCTCCAACTGCTCCTTCTGTCTCCTTGGCCAGCTCAACTCTGCCCATCCAGCCTGATGATGAGGTTCCTAAAAGCCCAGTTCTGGACCGCCTTTCCTCTCCCTGCTAGGCAAGCCCATCTGTGCTGAGTGTTTCATGACTGTGAATGTGCAAGGGCTCCAAAATTCCTCTGCCCGGCACGTTGTTCTCATCTCAGCTGCAGACCTGTATATCACCTCCTCAACATAGCCACTGAGGATCTCAGAGGCCGCTCAGACTCTACAGGCTCCAGTCAAACCCACATTCTTCATGCCCCAGATCTGGTCCCCCCTCCAGCGAGTAAGGTCATCAACTACCATCTGGGCAAGCCAGAAGCCTGGAAATCACCCCACTACCTCCTTCTCCCTCACTCCTGATGCCACTAATTTCACCTCTACTATGCAGAATCTTCCCAATTCTTTCCATCTTACCTGTTGCCACCCTAGTCCAAGTCACATAGCATCCTGCCTTGCCCAGACTGTTGCCAGAGCCTCTTATCTGGTCTCCCACACACACCTGGTCACCCTCCAATCCATTCCTAACTTTTCAAAATACAAATCTGATCATCACCCATTCCTCCTGCTTCATACCTGTCAGTGGTTCCTCATTGCTCTTATGAAATGTTCATCTCCTCCCTGAGGTCCTGAGCTCTGGGCCTCAGCCATCTGTCCAGCACCTTCCACTGTATACTCCTCCCTGAGATCTCTGTTCCAACCTCATTAGCTTCACTAAACACACCATGCTCCCTTCCACCACAGGGCCTTTGCACATGCTGTTCCTGTCCCTTGAATGCTCCCGGCCACTTCGCCTATTCACCTAGTTAACTCCTACCCATCCTCCAGCTCTCAGCTCAAGTATCAGTTTCCCAGGATCCTTCAAGGTCAGATCAGGCCAGGTCCTTTGTTAACTGCTCTTCAGAGAATCGTTTCTTTCTCTCAAGGTTTTTATCTCGGTTTGTAATGACAGTATTCATTTGGGAGTGTGTGAGCAGTACATTGGTGTTGGGAGCAGAGCAGGTTTACTGATGGGCAGCAGGGCTGGGTTTCCACCAGGGGCCTTGGCCTCTTGTCCAGACTCCACTCCACTTCCTGCCATATAGAACTGGGGCTGGAGCTGGGCAATGGGGCAGCTCTGGCTAGCCCTAAACTGAGCATGTGGTGCAGGGGGAATTCCTGACAATCTCGGGCAGCATCCCAGCTCTGTCCCTGACTTGGCACATGAGCCCGGAAAAGTCATGTCTGCTCTCTGAGCTTCCCAGTGGAGTCACAGTTGTGAATCCGGGACACATGGGTCAGCATAGAGCTGGCACGACGGTTCGACTCAGGGACCCCCAGAGTTTCCAGTACCTGGATGAGGTTGGCTGCTGGCATCCTCCGCTTCTCGAAGTGCTTCTGACGGTGCTGCTCCTGTACCTTCAGGGCGAAGCCAGAGCCAAGGATGCCCTAGGGGGATAGGCCAGCTGGGGGAATGCAGTGGTGGTAGGGACAGAAAAGGAGGCAAAAGTGCCCCCATCCCTGCCAATCTGAGGTGTCCCACCCCTATGCAGACGCAGGATAGAGGCTTAGCAGTGTCTGCCCTCAGGACCCTTCTGTCCCAGGCTGGGTGAGCCCAAGTGGAGGAAGACTCACAGCAGGCAAGGCAAAGAAGGAGATGCCTAGTAAGGCGAAGCCGGCAGCCAGGACTCTGCCTAGCCATGTGTGTGGTGTCTTGTCACCATAACCGATGGTCGTCAGTGTAATCTGGGAACACAAATGGGTTAGGCACAGGGCTGGTCATGAGGGCCACCCACAGGAGCTTATTGGAACACAGGCATGGGGAACCTGATCATGGGGCAGAAGGTCCCCATGGTTACCCACCAGGGCTGCTTACAAGGATTTGTCACAAGGGCTGGCTAGGAGCATAGAAGGGAGGCCCTCCCCTGTGCTGGTCAGGGGAAGAGGTACAGGTCACAAGGACTTGACATGGGGAACTAGACTGGGCACAAGCAGGTCCACTGGGCCACGGTGAGGGGCAAATGCAGGGGCTGGTTACAGGGGTCCCAGCCCTAGCAGGCACAGGCTGACTCAGCCCCGAGTTGGAGTCACAGTGGTCAGACTGGGAGGGTCCCAGGGAGAAGGGCGGCCCTACACAGACCCTTACGCACCGTCCCCCACCAGAGCGAGTCAGCGTAGGAGGAGAAGTCGGAGTTGGCGTCTTTCTCGGCCAGATAGACCAGGAAGGAGGCGAAGATGAGCACCAGGAACCCGATGTACCAGGCGGTGATCAGCTCCTGCAGGGGCAGCTACGAGTGAGAGCACTGGGAGGACCCCGCCGGAGGGGGCGGAGCGAGCGGGGAACGCTGCGCCCACTGGGAGAGGTGGGCAGGTGGAAGATCGGCCTCTGGGAGGTATTCTGGGAGGGTTGATGAAAGTACCCCTCGGAATTCTCTGGAGGCAGCCCTGCCCCACTTTCTGTCTCAGCTCCGCCCTTCAAGGAGGCCCCGCCTTCCCGACGGGACCAGGCCCCCACAGAACCTCAGGGCACACTGCTGACGCACCCCTCACCCGCCGCACCCCACCCCAGCCCTCGCCCTTGGCCCTCCAGGTTCCACCCTCAACCCTTCGCCCTCAGCCCCCAGACCACCTTGCCCCCACACCAAGCTCAACTTTCAGGCTTCGGTGCGACACGGCATCTAGCCCCACCCCAGCTCCCACTTAGCTGTGCGCCTAGACCCCCGAACCCAGAAGCTTCCAAATGAGACCCTCAAGCCCTACCTACGACCCCGCCTCCTGGCTTGCTCCTGACCCCCGCAGGCCCCGCTCTGCCCGGCTCCAGAAGGAGCCCCTTCTGGCCTCGCCGCTGCCTGGTCCCTCGTCCCCTGCCTCCGGCCCTGCTCCGGCCCTGCACTCCCCGCTCCCGCCCGCGGCAGCCCCCGCCCTGCCTCACCTTGCTGTGCGCGTAGACCACCGAGCCGAGCAGCTTCCAGGTGCCGCCGCGGCGGTCCATGCGCACCATGCGCAGGATCTGCAGGAAGCGCATGCTGCGCAGCGCAGACGTGGCAAAGATGTTACCCTGCGTGCCCGCGGCGATGACCGCCACCGAGGCCACGAACACGATGAAGTCTGCAGGAGCGAGGGCGGCGATGTCACCGCCGGTGCCGAGGAGCCCACCCGCCCCGCATCGGTACCGAGGCCGGCGGGTGGAGAGCAGCCAGGTGGGGTCAGGTGCAGGCAGGGCAGGCCTTGTTACCGATGACACAGAAGGGCTTTCGGGCAAAGCGGAGGCGGCCCTGCCATCCTCGGTAACGACAGCAGCAGCCAGCGGACCAGACCCGGACGATGTACTCCAGGCCGAACACCACGATCATCACGAATTCCTGTGAGACCAGGGCCTCAGGTTCTGGTCTCCCCTCTCCAGGTCCAAGTCACACAGTACAGGTCCAGCTCTGAGTCCCTGAGTTAGGGGTACTAGGATTTCCCCAGACCACCTCTCCTGGAGGTTCTTACACCTACTCCTCACCCAGCCCTGCCCCTCCCAGACTCTATAATCCTGACTGGGTGACATAAGGGGTGGCCATCTGTCATCTGTCCCCCTCTGAGGTGCTTCTGTTTAGAGAGAGAGAGAAAAAAAATCACACCACAGATAGAGTTAGCAGTTTTGGTCCTGAGAAGGATTGGGGCTTATTCATCTCTTCTCTGGGCCCAACACTCACAGAGAGGCAGGAGGTCCCCAGTATCTGCTATAAAGCAGGGGATGTGGCCCAGAGATGGGCAGGTACCATCTCAGGGAACACAGCACAGCAAGCCACTCTTTGAGCCATAGTGTGAGAAGCCTCTCTCTCCATCTTTGCCCTGAACACAGAGGTGCTATGCCACACGGACTCCCTCAGACGTGGACTCCAGCACTCACCAGGATGAGAAGACACTCATTGGCAAGTTCCTGGTGCTCCTGGATAGTGGACAGCACAGACAGCACCAGGCAGCTGAAGACCAGCAAAAATCTGCAATGGCAGCATGAAGGAGAGGGTTAGACTGCTGGATGGACAGGACAGTCAAGGAGCCTTTGGCAAGGGGTTGCAGAGTCAGAGGAGTAGGGAAGCACTATTTTGGAAGAATTACCTGGAAATCAGAATCAGAGTTCTGGAGTTGTAGCTCTGTGCCAGACACCAAAGGGAGAGACACCCCTGAGCTCTCTCAGCTACTGAGCTCACAGACACCTTACAATCCTTTCAGAGAAGTGGTCAGTCAGCTGAGGGTGCCAGGTCTGCCTGGGCTGAGAGCAGGGACCGACTGGCTCAGGGTCCTTGTACGATCAGGAAATGCCTCCAGGCTCAGTCATGCACAAGTGGTGGCCTCAGACCCTGGCTCAGTTTTAAGGACATCTTGAGAGAAGTGCCCCAGAGGTCAGCTGAGGGACCAGGGAAGGTCAGTGGCTGAGGGACTCCTCCCCTTCCCTATGAACTCCAAGGTGGAGCCTAGTTTCAGCTGCAGAATAGAGACAACTGTCCTGCCTTTGTGCGCTCTTACGGAATTAAATAATGAGACAGCTCTGAAAGGAAAGGGTACCAGAGAAGACAGGCTAGGAGACGAGGTGGGGGGTTGGGAGGGGGCCATGGAGAGGGTCTCAGGCAGCTGGGCCATGCCCCGGAGACCTGGACTCCCCTGAGGGCAGTAGGAAGCCATTGAGTGGCCCAGAACCAGATGTTAGAAACAGAAGGAACTTTATAACCCTACTCACCCAACACTTCCCTCAACCCGAATGGCACACATGAGGAAACTGAGGCCCAGAAAGGGAAGGGAATTCACTCAAGGTCACCCAACATGCCAAGGACAGAAGTGGGATTAGAGCCAGGGTTCCCGAGTTCCCAGTGGATGGGAAGAGGGGTAAAGGGCATAAGGAGAGAAACTAGTGGCCTCAGGGAGAATGTGACTACAAGAGGCAGGACAGGCACAGAGGGCACAAGCTGCAGATGCAGCAAAAGGGAAGGAGGCTGGGCTCTCCAAATCTCTACTCTTTGGGATGAGGTGTGCGGGACATGTAGGTGTCCGGGAGGAGACCCCTGAGGGAATGGGCTTCTCTGGAAAGGGACTGGGGACTGACCCACAGCCTTTCCCAGATGTTCCCAGAGTCTCTCCCCCAGGGGCTGCTGATTCTGCATTCTGCCTGAAACGCCTTGCCGTCGGGGCCTGATGAGACTCTGCTCACCCTCTCTTCACACAAACGCTCCCTGCTCGGGGGAGCCTGCTGGGATGGCCCCCACTCTACTATTCCCACTTCAGAACTTGCCCTCCCAGTGCTTGCCTCTGTGTATGTGGCTCAAGTCACTTTCTACAAGGCTTTGAGAACTGGGTTCAAATGATCCTGCTTCTGTGTGGTCCTGAGAAAGTCACCCACCTTCTCTGAGCCAGTGTCATCTGCAGAGTGGGAGCTGATGGGAGGAAAGACATGTAGAAGGCAGAGCTCCACCCTGGCCCATTACACCGCCTTGGACAGGGGCTCCCCTGCCTGCTTGAAGGGCAGGTTTAGGTCTTCATTCCCGCACACAGCCCTAGGTAGAGGAGATGGTAGCAGATGTGGTAAGGCATTTGAATGAATGAGTGTGGAGGAGGCCTCCTTGACCAGAGCTGAGTCAGCAAAGACGTAAGGCAGGGGACAGGTGGAGGTGGGGGTGGGGGAAGGGTGGGGGTGGGGCAGAGCACCAGCTCCTTGAGTTCAATAATTAACCACAGAAAATGCAGTGGCCACATCCACTGGGATGGGGGACTGCACTAAGACAGGGCTCAGGGTGGTGGGGCCCTCCCTGAGGTCATTTTATCCAGCCCCCTCTTCTGGGAAGGACTGAGGGAAGTCTTGATGAGCCTTCACCCCAGCCCTGGACAAATCATTCAGTCCCATCGCTCAGCTGACCTCAGATCCTCAGGTCAGTGGGCCATGCTAGGGGCTTCCTACTGGGTATCTCAGGAATTTTTTCACTTTTCTTTCCATGCCAACAGTTGCACATCTATAAAATGTCCACTTCACAGTAGGTTAGGGGAAAAAAGCAGATTATCAAACCTTAAGGGCAATGTGATCCCAATTTTTAAATATAGATGCTTTTTATATTCATACCAAGAGTCAGCAGGGCTCATCTCTGGCAAAATTAAGAGTGATATGGCCTTTGCTTTGCTTTTGCTTATCTGCATTTCCTCATATTTTTTAGGGTAAATATGGGTAATAACAAACTGATATAAAATTTAAAATGCATTTCCTTAAAAATATGAACAGGGAAAAAAACACGTTTAATCCTGCCTTACCTCTTTACCACAACAGCCTTTGCCATTTAGCAGGTGTGGGGGTGTGGGAGCCTCTCCCCGGTCCGTCTCACATGTGTAGCTGCCTATCTGCCCTCTCTTCTTGGATGTCTCATGGCCTCTCAAATCGAACATGCCCAGAAACCAACTCTTCTTTTGCTCCCAAATCTTGCTCTCAGCCTACCCCTCTTCTCAGTAATGGCACCATCTTCCACCCAGGGGCTCAAGGTGAATGTCTAAGAGTGACCCTGGACTCTTCCTTTCCCTCACCTGCACATCCTGTCCTTCAGCAATTTCTGTCACCCCATCTTCAGAATATATCCCCGCGCAGACCTGGGCGCACCATCCTAAGCTGCCCACACCTCGCCCCTGTCTGTTCTCCCAGCCTCTACCCTGGCCCTACTGTAATGCACTCCCTTCGCCGCAGCTGGGGCGCTCTGCCCACAATGCAGAGCAGGAAATCATCACTGTGCCCCACACCCTCCGCTGACTTCCCACTACACTTAAGGAGTGAAGGTCACGTTCCTCAGCAACTCCAACAAGGCCCTGCGAGGTCTGGCCTGTACGCTTACCTCTTGAACTTGCTCTCCTCCCCAGTTGCCCCTCTATCACTGCGATCCAGCCACTCGGATCTCCTTGCCATTCCTGGAGACAGCAAACATGCTTCCACCGCCAGCCTTTGCCCTTGCGGTGCTCTTTCCTCTGCCTGCGTGTTGCTGTCTTACTCAACCAGTTCTGTGTTCAGCATCACGTCCTTGGAGAGGCCTTCTCCAATCACCCCTCTCCAAAATAATGGCCTCACCCCCACTCTCCCTCTTTCTAATTCTGCTTCATTTATGTCTTCACAGACTGAGTAAATGAATAACAGAAATTCACATTAAACAAACATCAAAACGCCATGTCACCAAAGTCCCCCATTTGTACCCACTCTAAGTACCTCTGTCCCCAACCTGTCAAACACCCCAGTATCCTTCTTGAGAAGGAAAGTGAAGGCAAATCTCCAACCTTGGCAGCCCCATTTGGCAGACACTGTTTAAAATGCCCCTGAACTTCACCTCCCCAGCCTTCACACACTGGTTGGGAGTTTCTCCACCCTAGATCTCAATACAATTGAACATATATACTTAGTCTGATAGAGAATACCTTGTGTTCCAGGCACCCGAATAACTATCCCCATCTTTCAGATGAGGAAATGGGGCCCAGAGAGTGACAGACTTGTTCAAGATCACACAGTGAATCAGTGTGATCCTCTTGGCTGCCCTGGCCTTCCTGAGGGGTCCTCGCATAGACACCCAGTCTTCGGACAGCAGAAGGGAGATCAATGTCTGAAGCCTAAGGAGCCCTGAGCTGGGGTCTGGTTGTAGTTCCAGAAGCAACGCGTGACTTCATTCACGCATCAAATAAAGACTAAGGATTGTCTCTGGCCCCCTCCCGGCCTCAGTTTCTCCATCTACACAATTATAAATAGTACACAGTTGCTGGCTATCTTGGCCCTTTTTAATTGCCCAGCAAAGAGGCCAGACTGGCAGCCACTTTCTGGAGCATCTTTGCCCATCATGCAGTTTGGGCCCATTCTCTCCCCTGCCTGGCCAAGGAGGCCCAGCTGGGACCAGTGAGTGCTACCTGGCTATCTCTGCCTGGTTAGCCTTACCCTGAGAATTATAACTTCCTCCCTGCCCCCTACTCTGTCACTGTCTTACTCACTCAGGAAAGCGGCAAGGAGGTTAGGGGTGAAGAGGTGAATGGCTTGCTGATCTCCATGGTACTCGAATTGTAGTGGGCATGAGCAGCACAGGAGGGCTTGTTAAAATGCTGATTTCTGGGCCCCACTCCTAGAGTGTCTGATTCATGCCATGGGGCCTGAGAATCTGCAAATCTACAAAGTTCCCTGGTGACACCAGCACTGCTCTGCGTGGGACCACACTTGTAGAATCAATCACTCATGCAGCTGATGGGAGTGGTCACGGCTAGACTCAATTATTAGCCAACTCAAGGCTTTTTAAACTACAAATATTGCCTTCCACCACTACCCCGCCCCCATGCCTTCCTCAAATCACTGCCCAGAAGCAGCCCCAGTCCAGACAGCCAAAAAAGCCCTGCTGGGGAGGTGGGTCTTGTGCCAACATCAGCTTCACCTCTGATTCCCTGTGTGACCCCATGACTGCTCTTGCTGGCCAGGCATTGTGCCAACCCCCCTACATGCTTATTTTCATCACTTCTCATAACAACCCAGGAGAGCAGTACCATAATCACCCAAAGCTATTGATGAGGAAACAGAGGCCCAGAAGGGTTTCCTATGAGGGCTGCACAACCCTGTGAACATACTAAAAACCACTGGATTACACAATTTAAAATGGGGGATTTTATGACATGTGACATATCAACAGAATTGTTTAGTTTAAAGAAAAAAAGGTACACTAAGTTGCCCAGAGTCATAAGGCCAGGACCTAAATCCAAGTCCACCTGGACCACCAAGCCGTACTGCCTCTCTCGGCCCCAGTTTTCCTGTCTGCAGTGTGAGGTGCGGGATGTCAGCCCTGTGGCTCTCCAGCAGTGGTGGGGGGGGTGGGAAGGTCAGCCATGAGCTCAGTTCCAGATTTTCTGGGGATGCCTCTGGAGAGAAAGATGCCTAGAGGCTGGAGAGATGGGGATATGGGTGGAGGGGTCGCACAGCAGAAAAGAGGTTATCACCTACCTCTCTGAGCCACAT